CTTAGCGCAGACATCCGCGCATGAATACACGTCGACATGGCTCTCCGGATCGGGAGATATGTGACAGGATGGTCTTGGATGAATAAGGTGCTCACAAGTCTCAGCGTAGATTTTCATAATGCAATGGAATATCAGAGTCAGCATGTCCCGCCGTTCAACGCTAGCAGATTTCCACTTCATCATACGGAGCCCTTCATGATAACATCAGGGTTTGAGATTACAAGATCATCAGTGAATCCCGTAATAGATCTTGAAGATGGAAGATAAGAAGATAACGCAACTGGACACTACAACTATGGTACTGTCGGAAATAGAAAAAAACTGTTTTTAGGCTGTTACTCTGTATCCCTAAAATTTACAAAATTGCAAATAGCATATGTCGAAATAACCCACTTCGGCCTAACTGGGCGTTCAGTGGGATTTGTAATATGATATCCAGAAAAGCATGTTTACTCGTAAAATCGGGTAAAACTTAGAAAAAATCCGAATAGCTGCTGAAAACAATAGATCAGACTATAGATGGCAATTAGGTCGCTCAGCCAGGTGTGACGACGGACTGTCGACTCACCTGGCATGAAATGCACGTGCTGCCTACAGGCGCAAGGGGTCATCTCAAAGATATTTTGTGCTTTTTCATGTGTGTTGACTATGTCTCATCTATTGATTAACATCTTACGTGTCTTTCTTTCATATAGTTTCATATAGTTTATGTTGAGATATGTAAAAGAGTATGATACCCGAAAACCATAGAAACGCATCGTAGTATTTAGGTGGCATGACCACCCGAAGATCGAAAGGACTGGATATTATTTGTAAATTGTTATGATGTGCCGTGTACCTCCCCAGTATAATTGCCCTAAAGGATTATCTTATCTTAGCTGATATCTCTATCCCCAAGCCCAACCACAGGTTTTGCTTTTGAGACGGACCCTCACATCTGTTTCTTTTTATAGTGACAGTGAGACTCCATGGTAGCTACATCCTTAATAGTTTCGGCATAAAAGTTATTATTTTTTACGTCAGCTATCGTTTATAATGAATCTACGTCTAATTTCAAATTGGGCATTTAAAAAGTGTCCTTTGTAATACAATCTCGTCGCACACTAATTTGCATAAAGCCATGGTCTGTTCCAAATAAGTCTTTTTGGACTTAGAAAAAACCCGCATTGCTCATTTCTGCACTAATTTCCCCTCAGTAAAGTCCTTTTTCTCCGTTTCCTATCTCTCTACCACCGAGACTGTAGTTAGGCCGAACTTAGTTTAACAGATATTTCACACTTTCACATATCAACTACATAAATTGTAGAGATAAATGAGAAAATACAGTTTTTTTTCTATTTCCAACAGTACTATAGATGTTGGCTATGTTGGATCAACGCGTGGCTGAAGGAAGAGATGCACACCTGAACTAACGCAGTCGCAGTTCCTCAGTGAGACATCGGTTACGGTCAACTTTACAGAACATCTGTATAAGATGACGACTGCAGTAAAGATTATAAAGTTGAAGAATACAGTCACAACAGACAGGGGAACAGTCTGCTTACATCAGTACTACGCGGCGAAGTTTTCGCGCACTTCCACTCAGCCATCTATACACGTGTTCACTTGTGTAACTCCGGCACAAGCCGAACAGAGAGGTTACGGACAAGGCAGAGTGTTGACGAAGAAATCAACGACTACACAAGATTCTATGAGGATCATTTACCTGCAACACCGGTGACGTCACATCTGAAATCTGATTGGTCCATGAGAGACAATGCCCTGCGCAGAACTCAGTCATAGTCACGTGCCAGGAAGTCGTCTACAGTTGTAAACAACTCTTTCAACGTGGGAAAGGCTCCATTTACAGTCCAGTTAGCAGGGTACAGCATGGTTCGACTGTCTTCACGGGTCATAGAGGACTTTCCCTGTCAGCAGATTTAATATTGGTTATCTGGGGACTTGCAGCGACAAGCGTTCAGATGGTTTCTGCTCGCGGCAGCCAGTCGACTATAAATTGACTTCACATCGATGGCACTTCCAGTACATCATAGATTTTTGCTGATCTACAGATGACGAATTATGCATCATCACTGCACATTGTTGGGATTCTGGTGACAACATCTTCATTACATATTATCGGAAGATTGATGAGACAAGCTTTTAAGCCATGATTCCAGAATTGATCATCTCTCCACTTCCATGACGGACATGGCAAGGGTACTTGATCCACTTACCTACAATGTAGGACATGATTGCTTTAGATGGCTAGTAATCTCCTAAATTGGAGTTGGAAACAAAACAGGATCTTCAATTTCTGGGAATATGGCTCATCACACCACAGAATCACACGGTCATCCCAGAGGATCGTTGGGTCAAGATACAAGCCAGGGTATCTCAGCAATACTCTCTCCGTTGACACTACGAACTTGACAATGTCTTCTCAGTCTACTGACCTCAGCTCAAGACATGACCCGCAGAGGGAGGTTACAGTTGTGCCCACAACACATTTTTTCAAAGAGGACACCCAGGACTTATCCTTGTGTCCTGTCAGAGCTCTGAAGATATATCTTCAAAGACTAAAACAAGGAGAAGAAAATTCAAGCGTCTATTAATCCCCTTGTCAGCAGAGACGTCTGTAAAAGTCTCAAGAACGACAATATCATTTTGGATGAGAGCCGTTATACTGAGGGCCTACAAAGCAGCAGGACTAGAACTTCCACGAGCTTCCAACCCAAACGAAGTCAGAGCACTGGCATCAACACTAGCTCTGCATGGAAATTGCTCTATATCATCGATTATGGAGCGCTGCTTCTGGAAGTCAGAAACGGTGTTTGCCAACCACTACCTCCGAGACATAGCCACCGAAGACGTCTCTTGCATTCACCAGTTTGGGCCTCTTGTTGTAGCACAACAACTAACGGTTCCTCAAAGGCGCTGAGTTTGAAATCTCACCCTTTATCACGTTGACTTGTTGATAACTTTTACTATGGAAAAAGTTCTAGTTTGAAAGTCCATGCACACAGTCTAGACTAGGCTATCATGAGTGATTAAGACTGTGTACGGGTAAAGATCTTATCTGTACCAGAGATAATCTACTACAGGGATAGGTCACTCGCTTGCTTTCTTTACCATTTGTACTAATTAGCGTGTGCCTCGTCATGCTCCAACGCACACAGTGACTTGTTTCGTTCCAAGCGCAACTTTGGCTGCATTAACAGTACTTCAGCCAGTTTATTGTGTCAGTCGGAATTTTACAATAAATACATATGTGAATGAATGAAAGAATAAATGATACACCACGGCCATCCCTCCCCATACATGTTAAAGAACGCAAAACTATCGCTAGAACACGTGTTAACATCAGCTGTCCTTTTTTTTAAAAATCTACTTTGTGACATTTTTTACATTAGTAATTAATTCAGATATCTTATTGCGTGTGTGGAATGGCATGGACATTGACAGAATGTTACTATCACAAAGCGTTGTAAACACCTTTCTAGTTTTGTCAAATACTCAAATCAACAAGAAAGAAAGATGTTTAAGAACTATAACACTCAAGCAGATCGGCGATATGTCATATTTTTCACACACCTAAATACACCCTAACAAAAAAAAAATAATTATAAAACTATCACTATTACTTGCATACACCTTTTACCTGATGGTATATTCCCCTCATAAAAATTAATGGTGTATGTGAAAGATGTTTTAGAACAATAACTAGAAACACTCAAACAACGCCCAGTAGTATTTCAATGGCAGATCGGCGATATGTCATATTTTTCACACACCTCAAATACACCCTAACAATTTTTTTTAGTTATTAAACTATCACTATTACTTGCAAACACCTTTCAACTAAAGGTATATTTCCCTTCCAAAAATTAAACGAATATGTGAAAGAAGTTTTTTAGCAATAGAATTTAGTCTTTCTTCGCTGTGTACGGAGAATGGAAGCCAGTGAGCTACAACATGCCGACTTGAAACTTTACTACAAATCAACTGTACCAATACTGACGCTAATAACAATTATTTGACTTACAATGAAGTGACAGAATAGGTAACTTATCTTCTACATGTAGGTTTTCAGTTGTCCCAACACTCAGCGAATGTAATCAGCTGTTGAAAATAAACCGGGCTCAATCTTAAAAACTACGCTTCCGCCATATTGGCTACACTGGTCACGTGACGAGCCGAGGCATACGCTAAGGGGCTTCCGAGGAGCGACCACTCCCCATTATAAAGTCTCCCTGCCTGTACGTAAAGGGGTCGCAACTCATTTATGATAAAGATCTTATCATAATGTATGGGTTGTTATAGATAACTAGTAAAAAGAAGATACTAGTATATCTTAAGCCACATGAATCTACAAGATTCACTTGTCTGAGAGAGAAGTAAGACAAGATGGTGGTTCCCCCGAGTTACAACGGAAGTTGGAAGAATAGGATCACGGAAATGCCGTTACGCAGTTCCCATGGGGGGGATACAGGACGTATCTATGGACAGCTGTTGAATCCAGGAAGTGGCTTGACCCACCACCAATCCGTAGGATTCTATAAACAAAAGATCATGAGTCAGGATAAGGAAAAATATGTAATTTTTTAAGTAAAATTGATATTTTATACTTATCCTGACTCATGAGGAGAAGCCCTCCCAACCTCCCCGCTGGAAACACTTCGGATTTCACAGTAGATCCAGGTGCATGGGCAGAAAAATCAGGAGAGAGTGACAAGTAAGGCTGGTCACATGATTGTTTGCGCAGGAAAAAGGAGGTAACTCGTGAGTGAGTGTATTTATATGTCCGCTTCGGGAACTTCAAGGGATTCAAGTGTTCCACTACCATTCACAAGGGAAAGGGAGATAAGCAAAAGATCATGAGTCAGGATAAGTATAAAATATCAATATTACTTAAAAAATTACAGTAATCCTTATAACATATTTTGCTTTATGACCTTGTTTGACCCATTGTATTGGGTTTTGTTAACAGTACTGTTATGTATGTTCATCTTTTATTCTAGCCAATGAGATGACTTTGAGGGAAGGCCTTCACTTTGAGAAGAGACTCTTCCATGCTTCATTTGCCACTGTGAGTCCATCCTTCGGAATCATTTGATTATGACTGTACTTAAACACATTGCTGTGATACCGTATTCAGATTGATACTGCAGTTCATATTTACCCAGACTGTTATTTTAAACAGGAACATCTTGATACTTTCAGGATGACCGGAAAGAGGGTATGACAGCATTTGTGGAAAAGAGGCCACCAAACTTCACTGACAGTTGAGCTGTCATGGCAGCAATACGGTATATGTATCCAGGAGGATCAGATCAGCTTTGGTATGACCCCAGACCTGCGTGATGTTGTGTGTGTGTTTGATCATGTGTCCGGCAGTGGTGTCAAAACAACTGTGGGGAACACTGGAGTGGATGACTCGACACGGTACATTCGGCTTAATTCATATATGCAGATGTGTTCTGAAGGAATTCTGAAGATGTTTTCCTACTTTAGGACTGGAAATACAGGAACATTGCCAGTCTATCAAGATATATGTAGAAATTAAAATTATGATGAGAGATTTAATCCTGAAGATGTTTGTTTTTTGTCTCTGATATTAACTTTGTCTTTCATGTTATCATTGTGGGTACTGTGATCTATTTCCACAGACGGCTTTGTGCACAACAAAATTGAGAGACTTATGATGTACAGTGTGTGTATGGCATGGAGAGACTAATGATGTACAGTGAGTGTATGACATGGAGAGACTTATGATGTACAGTGAGTGTATGACGTGGAGAGACTTATGATGTACAGTGAGTGTATGACATAGAGAGACTAATGATGTACAGTGAGTGTATGACCTGGAGAGACTTATGATGTACAGTGTGTGTATGGCGTGGAGAGACTTATGATGTACAGTGAGTGTATGACATGGAGAGACTTATGATGTACAGTGAGTGTATGACATGGAGAGACTAATGATGTACAGTGAGTGTATGACATGGAGAGACATGATGTATAGTGAGTGTATGACATGAAGAGACCTGATGTACAGTGAGTGTATGACATGGAGAAACTAATAATGTACAGTGTGTGTATGACATGGAGAGACTAATGATGTACAGTGAGTGTATGACATGGAGAGACTAATGATGTACAGTGAGTGTATGACATGGAGAGACTAATGATGTACAGTGTGTGTATGGCATGGAGAGACTAATGATGTACAGTGAGAGTATGACATGGAGAGACTAATGATGTACAGTGTGTGTATGGCATGGAGAGACTAATCATGTACAGTGTGTGTATGGCGTGTAGAGACTAATGATGTACAGTGAGTGAATGACATGGAGAGATTAATGATGTACAGTGTGTGTATGACATGGAGAGACTAATGATGTACAGTGAGTGTATGACATGGAGAGACTAATGATGTACAGTGTGTGTATGGCATGGAGAGACTAATGATGTACAGTGAGTGTATGACATGGAGAGACTAATGATGTACAGTACAGTGTGTGTATGACATGGAGAGACTAATGATGTACAGTGAGTGTATGACATGGAGAGACTAATGATGTACAGTGAGTGTATGACATGGAGAGACTAATGATGTACAGTGAGTGTATGACATGGAGAGACTAATGATGTACAGTGAGTGTATGGCATGGAGAGACTAATGATGTACAGTGAGTGTATGACATGGAGAGACTAATGATGTACAGTGAGTGTATGACATGGAGAGACTAATGATGTACAGTGAGTGTATGACATGGAGAGACTAATGATGTACAGTGAGTGTATGACATGGAGAGACTAATGATGTACAGTGAGTGTATGACATGGAGAGACTAATGATGTACAGTGAGTGTATGACATGGAGAGACTAATGATGTACAGTGAGTGTATGACATGGAGAGACTAATGATGTACAGTGAGTGTATGACATGGAGAGAGACTAATGATGTACAGTGAGAGTGTATGACATGGAGAGACTAATGATGTACAGTGAGTGTATGACATGGAGAGACTAATGATGTACAGTGAGTGTATGACATATGATGTACATGAGTGGAGAGACTAATGATGTACAGTGAGTGTATGACATGGAGAGACTAATGATGTACAGTGAGTGTATGACATGGAGAGACTAATGATGTACAGTGAGTGTATGATGGAGAGACTAATGATGTACAGTGAGTGTATGACTAATGAGACTAATGATGTACAGTGAGTGTATGACATGGAGAGACTAATGATGTACAGTGAGTGTGTATGGCATGGAGAGACTAATGATGTACAGTGAGTGTATGACATGGAGAGACTAATGATGTACAGTGAGTGTATGACATGGAGAGACTAATGATGTACAGTGAGTGTATGACATGGAGAGACTAATGATGATGTACAGTGAGTGTATGTACAGTGAGTGACATGGAGAGACTAATGATGTACAGTGAGTGTATGACATGGAGAGACTAATGATGTACAGTGAGAGTGTATGACATGACAGAGACTAATGATGTACAGTGAGTGTATGACATGGAGAGACTAATGATGTACAGTGAGTGTATGACATGGAGAGACTAATGATGTACAGTGAGTGTATGACATGATGTACAGTGAGTGTATGACATGGAGAGACTAATGATGTACAGTGAGTGTATGACATGGAGAGACTAATGATGTACAGTGTGTGTATGGCATGGAGAGACTAATGATGTACAGTGAGTGTATGACATGGAGAGACTAATGATGTACAGTGAGTGTATGACATGGAGAGACTAATGATGTACAGTGAGTGTGTGACATGACATACAGGAGAGATGACATGATGTGATGTACAGTGAGTGTATAATGAGACTAATGATGTACAGTGTGTGTATGACATGGAGAGACTAATGATGTACAGTGAGTGTATGACATGGAGAGACTAATGATGTACAGTGAGTGTATGACATGGAGAGACTAATGAATGATGTACACTAATGATGTGAGTGTATGACATGGAGAGACTAATGATGTACAGTGTATGACATGGAGAGACATGATGTACAGTGAGTGTATGACATGGAGAGACTAATGATGTACAGTGAGTGTATGACATGACATGGAGAGACTAATGATGTACAGTGAGTGTATGACATGGAGATGACTAATGATGTACAGTACAGTGTGTGTGACATGGAGAGACTAATGATGTACAGTGAGTGTATGACATGGAGAGACTAATGATGTACAGTGAGTGTATGACATGGAGAGACTAATGATGTACAGTGAGTGTATGACATGGAGAGACTAATGATGTACAGTGAGTGTATGACATGGAGAGACTAATGATGTACAGTGAGTGTATGACATGGAGAGACTAATGATGTACAGTGAGTGTATGACATGGAGAGACTAATGATGTACAGTGAGTGTATGACATGGAGAGACTAATGATGTACAGTGAGTGTATGACATGGAGAGACTAATGATGTACAGTGAGTGTATGACATGGAGAGACTAATGATGTACAGTGAGTGTATGACATGGAGAGACTAATGATGTACAGTGAGTGTATGACATGGAGAGACTAATGATGTACAGTGAGTGTATGACATGGAGAGACTAATGATGTACAGTGATGTGTATGAGTGTATGACATGGAGAGACTAATGATGTACAGTGAGTGTATGACATGGAGAGACTAATGATGTACAGTGAGTGTATGACATGGAGACATGGAACTAATGATGTACAGTGTGTGTATGACATGATGTGGAGATGACTGGAGAGACTAATGATGTACAGTGAGTGTATGACATGGAGAGACTAATGATGTACAGTGTGTATGGCATGGAGAGACTAATGATGTACAGTGAGTGTATGACATGGAGAGACATGATGTACAGTGAGTGTATGACATGAAGAGACTAATGATGTACAGTGAGTGTATGACATGGAGAGACTAATGATGTACAGTCAGTGTATGACATGGAGAGACTAATGATGTACAGTGAGTGTATGACATGGAGAGACTAATGATGTACAGTGAGTGTATGACATGGAGAGATTAATGATGTACAGTGAGTGTATGACATGGAGAGACTAATGATGTACAGTGAGTGTATGACATGGAGAGACATGATGTACAGTGAGTGTATGACATGAAGAGACCTGATGTACAGTGAGTGTATGACATGGAGAGACTAATGATTTACAGTCAGTGTATGACATGAAGAAGCCATAAAGACTCTTGTGATGTACAGTGTTTGTGTATGACATGGAGAGACTAATGATGTACAGTGCACATAACATATATACAGGTTGTATGACAGGAAAGTTAGAATTGAGAGCTGACATAATATGGGAGCGTAACTTTGTCGTGATGATGCGAGCAGCCTGGTTCTGTATGTTCTTGAGGTATAACTATTACAGTAATCCAAGTGTGATAGAACTACAGATCGAATGAGGATGGCCGTTGCTTCTATAGTTAAGATGTGACATATTTTGCATAATTTGTTGATGTTACTTTTCATAGATAGATTTGAGTTCAAATAAACACCAAGATTTCTAAAAGAGGGAGAGAAAGTGATTGAGGATTGCCCACTGGAAATGGAAGAAAGCTTACACTTATGCTGTGTTTGACGTGGAGCAATAATGATGGCTTCTGTTTTACCAGGGATAATCTGTTCATCAGCATGTCATCAGTTGTCCCAGTGGTTTGGTGTACATAGTGTACAGTATCCGTCCTAAAACTGAGCCGTGTGGCACTCCACATTCAAGAACATGGCTGTGTGACAGTGTCCTGTTAATTTGAAAAATGTACACGATCTTCTAGACATGATGAAAACCATCCCAGGACCCTGCTGTTTAGTCCGTTTATTCAATCTGTAGCCTTTATAGCGGTGTTGCATGGTCAATGGTATCAAAGGCAGGTCTAGAGAGGTCTAAAAGGACAAGCAGGGCAATATTACCGTTATCTACGGGCATCTTCATGTTGTCCAGAACACCAGTGAGAGCTGTTTCGGTGCTATGTGCAGTCCTGTAGGCAGTTGATACTTATCAATCAGATCGAATTTCTGTAAATGTCCAAGCATCTGACTTTTGACAACTTTTCAAGAATTTTAGAAAGAAACGAAAGATAAGAAACTAATCGGTAATTGCTGAGGCTTTCAGGTTCAAATGATGGCTTCTTTATCAAAGGTGTTATGACTGCCTGTTTAAAGCACTGTTCCAGATGAGAGACTGACGTTGACAATCCTGGTTGTAAAAGGCCCAATTTTGCCTTGTACTTCAGCAGGAACTTGGTTGAGAGTGGATCTGCCTTATGACGAACTCTTGTGATTTTCTTAGAGAGGTATGACATATAGAGACCTAGACCTAGAGAGGAACTATGCCAAATGTCTTCCTGTGCAGTACAGGCGTTTAGGATTATCAGCATTATATGTGATTTCTGTATTGAAGTAATCAGATATGGCTTTCCTGATGCATTTCTTGACGTCATTTCGAGCAAGTTTGTAAATTTGACGGTGAATTTTCAGATGTGTTTTTCTCCAACAACGTTCAGCAACGTGTTTACCTCTCTTGGCCGATAG